AAAGTGGGGGGACTCAACTAAATGTCGATTTCCCTTGCTGGAGGTGTTGCATCCTCTGCCGCTTCCGTATATGGTTCTCTTGTACGCCGTGATGTTTATTTGTGCGTAAATTTTCATAGAAAGTGTTTTGTTGACTAGAATTATATACAAGGAATTTTGAACACAGGAAGTAAATAGTAAGATGGTTATTCGCGTACTATTACTACTAGTACTACTATTAATGGTGATGATGATGATAATCATAATAAATTAATGATAATAGCAATTATAACAATAATTAATAATTATAAATATTATAATACTATTATTAATAGTAATTATAACAATAGCATACTAATTTAATAACATTAATTATATTTAACGAAAACGACAATTTCCGTTTTCTTAATTCAATAATATTAAAATGAAAACGATAATTTCCCGTTTTCTTTGAAGGCTCCGTCATGATGTGCCTCGGCCTGAAGTGGCGCGCTTCCTGCAGTGTCTTCGTGGCTTCCTACTGGTACTTGTTCCTCCTGGACAAATCCTCGTGGAACAACCACTCCTATCTGTACGGTCTCCTGTCGTCCATTCTGCTGCTGTCTGATCCTCATCGATGCTGGTGGGTGGCGACTCTTGAATTTTGTTTGTCGGTGTTTATGAGGTTCTGTCTCTTTTTTTCTCTGTCTTTCTCTTCCGACTTCTATCTCTTATTATCTCCCTTCTTCTTCCTTCTACATTTCTCCCCTCCTCTTTTCTTCTTTTCTCTCTCTCTCTCGCTTCTTCCTTTTACCTCCCTCCCTCCTTTCTTTTCTTTCTTCTCTCTCTCTCTCTCTCTCTCTCTCTCTCTCTCTCTCTCTCTCTCTCTCTCTCTCTCTCTCTCTCTCTCTCTCTCTCTCTCTCTCTCTCTCTCTCTCTCTCTCTCTCATTAACTGATTGTAGATTACAAATAGAAAGCAACTGATAGGGCTTAAAGTCTGTAAATCTGTATAAAAGTTCAAGTAATCCGGGTGTTGTTTTGTCACTATTTCTGTACTCTAGGGAATAGTTAAGTTATTCTGTAAGCATACAAGTATTCAAACCAGAAATTAATTATATTACATCTCGAAAATAGTAACATAAACAACTAAATAGATAAAATTCCATGAATTCATGTTCTAATATATGCGCAACACATATATATATATATATATATATATATATATATATATATATATATATATATATATATATATATTCTCTCTTCCTTCTCCTTCTTCTCTCTTCTCCCTCCTCCTTTCTTCCCTTTTCTTCCTTTCGCAACCTCCCTCCCCCATTCTTCTCTCTCTCCTCCCCCTCCCTCTCTAAATTCCCTAACGCCCCAACCCCACTTCCCACCGCTCCCTCTCCCACCACCAGGTCCTTAGACGGAACAACGAAGCCAGGCCTCCGCGACAGCCACGTCCCCTTCTGGAGTTACGTCCTCCTCCGAACCCAGGTCTTCCTCCTCTACTTCTTGGCCGGGATCAAGAAACTAGACCCCGACTGGCTGTTGGGTTACTCGATGCAGAACCTCTCCGAGCAACTGGGTCTTCTCGGTGTTCAGGTATGGTCGCGTGGAGAGGGAAGGGGGGAGAGGGAAGGAGGGAGAGAGGAGGGAGGAGGGAGGAGGAAGAGGGAGAGGGAAGGAGGAGCGGGAAGGAGGGAGAGGAGGGAAGGAGGGGAGGAGGGAAGGAGGGAGAGGGAGAAAGAAGGAGGGAGAGGGAAGAGGGGAGGGGGGAGGAAGAGGGAGAGGGAAGGAGGGAGGAGAAGGAGGAGAGGGGAGAGGGAAGGAGGGCGAGGGAGAGGGAAGGAGGGTGAATGGAAGGGAAGGGAGAGGGAAGGGGGAGAGGGAAGGAGGGGAGGGGAGGAAGGGGAGAGAGAAGGGAGGGGAGGAGGGAAGGAGGAGAGGGAGAGGGAAGGAGGGAGAGGGAAGAGGGAGGAGGGAGAGGGAGAGGGAAGGAAGGAGGGAGAGGAGAGGGAAGGAGGAGAGGGAGAAGGAGGGAGAGGGGGAGTGAAGGAGGGAGAAAGAAGGAGGAGGAGGGAAGGAGGAGAGGGAAAGGGAAGGAGGAAGAGGGAGAGGGAAGGGGGAGAGGGAAAGGCAAAAGGGAAAGGGAGAGGGAGGGGGAGAGGGCGAGGAAGGAGGGAGA